ATCTCAACCTTTCATTTGATGGGGTTTGTGGGCACCATGTTCTGCATTCGGTTTCAATCCTCTACATCTCCAGATGAAAGGACTTCAGGCAGCAGAGCTGTGACTATCCGTTTTCTCTGGTGCTGCGGATCATGAACAGGCCAATGCTATTGCACTCATGTCTTGATTTTGGGCTTTCCACTTGCGTTTGGTGAGAAGAAAATGCTGGACTAATGCTGAAAGAGGAAAGCGAGGGGTGGACCCAGGATCCTCTTAGACCTGACGCCTGCAGTGTTCTCTACCCGAGAGTATGGAGAGCTGCTGCCAGTCACCTGAAAACGTTACTGTTGTGGAATGTTCTTTTGTGCTCCAAAGCTTGGCTCCACTGTGGTTCAATTCCATGCCATATTGGAACCTAGGAATATTCCAATCACAAGGATGTCTTGAGTTCCACGATTGCTTCCCATGGCAAAGTCATATCCCCTCCAAATTGGTGACTGGATTCTTTGTGGCTGGGGAACATTGTGAGAGATGTGAAACCAGCTGAAGAATGGAAAGGGCTGTATCCTGTGTCTGCTATCCGCTGGTGTTAAGGACTTCTGCACTAGAAGACAGATGAGGTTTAATGCGAAGCAACAGAGGAATCCAACACAGCAGTTGTGGTAGTGGGAACTCGCTGTGCAACAGGTTGTGCAATCTATTATGCAACAGAATTACTGCCAACCTGCTTATGAATTCTCTTGCGCAACAATGTTCTGCTAGCACAAAACATTGCACCAGTGGAACAACTATACTGCTAAGTGACTTTAACTTCATGCTACATTGGCTACAACCCGAGGCTGGTATACCTTGAGAGCTGTGAAACTGGGTTTCCTTCCAATGTATGCTGTGACATTTGAGAAGCACCAAGATCTCAGGGGAACAGGGTGCAAGCTGCCGTGTTTATAAATGCAATATCCTCAAAGCAATTGGGTATTCCAGTTGTTAATTCTGCTCACTGCTGAAGAAAGCTCCACTAAGTGTCTTTCATTTTCTTCAACAAATACATAGATTCATACAGTTGCCAATGGAGGTAAAATGATTTCAGCAGGATTAATTCATTCAGAGGTACACATCCCACCATCCAGCTCCAAATGGGCCCCATGGCTACAGATCTCTCTGTGCACAACAGGAGTGGAGACACCAATAAGCGACACTTTTAATTTGCCACAACAGTTTTAGTGCTCCAATTCCTCAGCAGAATAATTGCCACCTGTTGAGCGTGCAGATGTCAAAACACACGGGAGGCCTCCCCTTCTCTCAAGACACACGGAGAGTTTCATTCTGTTTTGTAAACCTGTCAAGATTTATCACTTAGTCATGTTCTTATGTGCTAGGCTAGTTTACACAATACAGTTTTCCATGCTTGGGTCTGGTCCTTCTCGGATTTCTCCATTCCGGGGCTTGCTAAATTGACTTTATGAAGGCAAACTAGACGGGGAAAGGAAGCATGTGCTTGACTGCAGCTTGCATCCAGCTGATTAAATGGAAAGTGAAAGAAGCAACGTGCCATGCTCTGCCTAAAAGCCAGCAAGCTCTTAAGGAATGCTCTTCCCAGTGAGAGAGCTAGTGTGGTACAGTGTGATTAAGAATAGATGCTGTGGATCAGGATCCACTCCCTCCCGAGAGAAGTTAGACTGGCTCCCTCCTTAAAAACCAAAGTCAAAAACAAAAAACAATACACACAATACATCAAAATCAAAAAGCAAAAATAAACAAAAAATTTAAAAACAAATCCAATATTCCCAGATCCTTAACTGTCATTACCTTATTTCGTCGACCTCCTCGCACCTCCCTTTTTTGTATTCTAGTTATTAATTATCTCAGCAAATCCTTTCCATCTTTCACAATGTTCTGTCATTAAATTACCTTAATCTATTTTAACCTTATCTTACCATAAAAAGTCCTAAAACTTAAAACTTAAATCTTATTTATACCAAATTCTCTTAACCATTACATATTCTTACATAATTCTTTTTAACATTTCTGCTAAAGCCCAATAATTTCATTCCAACATTTTTCTAATACTCATTAATTTTACAATACTTTTCTAAATAAATTTTTTAAACTTTCTTCCAATCTTCATCCATCGTCTCTTCTTCCTGGTCTCGGGTTTTGTCAGTCCTTTCTATCCCATCCATCTAGTCCATCAACCTGGTAACCTTATGTCCGAGGCTCTTAAGTCTCTTCCATGTCCCTTCTGCAGGTCTTCTTCATATTTATACCTGTACTTTACTTTGTCTTTTGCTCCTTTCGCTCGGGGAGACTCCAGCTTGACAATATTTTTGTCCCTTCTCGACAGGTCAGCCCCTTTTCCATAGTCAACACCAAAATCCACGTGGTATTTGAAGGCATGTTTCAAGGCCCCTCCAAAGTTAAGGGCCCCCACAACTCCGAGCTCCCCCCAGCCCAAAGCCAGACTTGAAAAATCAAAACATCCCTGCATAGGGGGGTCCATCCAGCCCCCCATCTCCAAGCCAAACAGAACTCCATCTCTCCAAATCTGACTTTTTCCAGGTTCATTCGTCAAATCCAACAGCTCATGTTCCTGCTGGGCCACAGCTCCCTCCATCTCTGCCACCCGGGGTCCAGCAACAGCCTCCTCCTTCATCTCATCTGACAAAGCACATTCCTGGATTCATTCCTGAGTGGGTTCTATATAGGTACCCACTGTCTGTCCAAAATTTCCGATCGCAACAGTCATCAAATCCATCTTCTCATGTAACTGTTCCAATAAAGCACTTGTCTTGCAAAAGGCAAGCACCAGAGCCTCCGAGTACATTCTTGTTCAAGGTCGAAGTCTGGTCCCACGATCTTAATCTGTTACAGCTGCAAAGCTCCCCAGTTCGGTTTTAATAACAGTTTCACAAGCTCCCTCTAGGGGAAACAATTTCTTTTTGTATCCATCCTTTTTCTTTTCTTTTCTTTTTTTAAAAAAGCAGATCTAGCAACAAAGTTTTCCTTTTTCGGATATTTTGTCAATATCTTTTTCCTTTTAAATGTGAAGGGGAACAATGGAATCAATATGTTTCTCTTCTTTTAACTATCTGTCAAAAACGTTTGTCCATAGTCAATGAACTTCCCCAGAACGTCTGTCCTGACACCCCGCTCCCAGGTTCAAGACGGTGGAAAATTGCCTTTCTTTACTCTCTCTTCTGCAGGTTTAAACAGTCTAAAAAAGGTGCCCCCCTCTTCTCCTGCTTCCAAGGGGGTTCAGTAATTTTAAATGATGAAATTTTGGTCCTTTACAAATGACTTTCTAAACTCTAGCTTGCCGTGTCCTTGCTTCAATCTATCTACAAAAAGCGGAAGGCGGACTTCCTGTTTAGACCTTCTCGCTTCAGTGCCAAATTAAAAAATTTCTTAATCCAATTTTCCGTTCTACTCACGGGCAGTTGTTTAAAATCCAATTGTCCACAGGAAGCACTTTTATCTACTTTTTTCTTTCCTTTCTTTTTCTCTTGGTTTTTCCTTCTTATTTCTTTGTAACCTTAAAATTCTCAATAAATATCATTAAAAAAAAAAAATAGACTGGCTCCCTCCTTGTTGTCCTTCCACTGACAGGTGGAGCCATTCTTGTTCCAACAGGTTTTGGGGAGCTGACTGCTTTTAATGAAAGGGCAGGTGCCGTGCTGTCTGTCTGTCTGTCTATCTATCTATCTATCTATCTAGTTTTAATCCAGTGCTATTTTTCTAGAAAAAAGGGATCTCTTATAAACGCAGTGGTGCCCACCTGGGAGGTGCCGGAACTGAGTTCAAGTGAGTTCCAGCTGGAAAAAAAAACCCCAATTCTGTGAATATTTACTTGTTTTTTAATGATCTGGGATTTCTCCTATGTTTTTAGCTGTTCTTATTTTTATCTGTAAGTCACCATAAGTTCTTGTCAGCAAGAACGACGAGCATAAATAAATGTATAATAATCACCATCATCTGAAGAGAACACCCATGGAATCTTTAACTTTCATCATCATCATCCGCTGGGAATTGTCTGTGAGAGATCTCTAGTCTCCACTCACTGATCTATAGAGTTTTCATGATTCCCTGGGGAGAGATAATTTCTTGACAACCATTTTGAGTCACAGGCTGGCCCTTCTGACTTTCAACCAACAGTTAACACATTTGTTAATCACTTTTTACACAAAAAAGCCTTAAAGAAACTTGAAATTCTCCCTCACAGTTCTTAACAGCTGATATTTACTTATTCATTTTTCTATACAGTCTTGACCTAAGCATTGGGCTAAGCAAATAGCTATGGATGTTTTGTTTTTATTTGTTTCCCCCATTCTGTTATAGTTTATCACAGGAAGGTCAAAACAACGTACAAGAAATAGTGAAACAAAGGAAATAGCCTTAGATTAAGAATGCCACATTTGCACAATATGTTTGAAGCAGTATTATGCCACTTTAATAGTCATGGCTTTCCCCAAAGAATTTTGTGAATTGTAGTTTGTTAAAGGTGCTGAGATTTGTTCGGAGACCTTTGCGCCTCTTAGAGAGCTACAATTCCCAGAGGTCTCCCAGTTCTCTTTCCAGGGAACTCTGGGAATAGTAGTTCTCTGAAAACTCTCTAAAAACTCTCAGCACTCTTAGCGAACTAAAGTTCCCAGTACTCTTTGTGACCTTATAAAGTGACACGATACTGCTTTAAATGTATTGCACTGCCTTATACGTAAGGTGCAGATACAGCCTCAGCATAGGAGCCAAAGCCTAGGGGCCAAGGTCCCTTGAGCACCCCCAATAAAATATCTGAAGGGGATGCCCCCCTCCCGACTTGATGGGCATCGATTGTAAAATGCTGTGAATGTGCTGCATCTTGTGATTGATTATGTGGGGCGGGACTTACCTGCACCGCCCAATATTTTATTCCAGTTGGCACCCCTGAGCCCTAGTCAGACCAATTAGTCCACCCAGCTCAGTATCATTGACACTCACTGACAGTTGCTTGCCAAGGTTTCAGGCAGAAAACAATTTCCAGCCTTACCTAGAGACACCTGGGATGGAACCTGGGGCCCTCTGCGTGTGAAGCAGACGCTCTACTGCCAAGCTATGGTCCTTCCCTTGTAGAAAGGCGTTTAGAAGCCACTAAGATTAATATTGATATAATGTCCCTATATTTCTCCTTGGCACCTGTTGAATTGTTGTACTTGCCCATTAGTACTCCATTTAACATCAGAAGCCAGTTAATAAATTCTTCTCCGCTGCATGGGAAATTGACTAAAAGACACAAAATTAGCTTTTAAATTTTAAAGAATTAAGATCTTTACAACTGACTGCTCCCTTCTCCTCTCCTCCGTAGATGTAGATAGATAGATTACCTTGAAAATGAACATCGCCCTTGCTTTCGCAACATGGAAATACATGCTTGTAAGATCTCCGGGTCTTTTCATTTTCAGTCTCATGTGTTGGATAGGAGGCTGAGGGAACAATTGCTACTCTTTCTCCATCCTTCCCCCTGGAGCAGTTCTCAAGCAGGGGCGGGTGAGAGGAAGCAGGCTTGATCAGTTGTCTAGGCCAGTTTAGGCCCAAAAGGTCAAAAGGTTCAAGCTTTTGTACTGCAATGTTCCTTGGATTTCTTTGGGCTCTTTGTCTGGTAACAGATAAATAACTGGGGATTTTTATGCTCCTTCTGTTGAAATGCAAAGACGTTCCACTCCCAAATAAGAAACAACCAAAATTAGGTGTTTCCTGGGGTTCTCTTTGGCGATGCTGAATGATTTCCAACTCAAACGATGTGATCTGGACTCTCCAGGTTTTCTTCAGTGATAATCTTTAGCATTTAGCTACTGGCTTAGGGTGGCACCGATCACTTATTACAACAGTCCTGCAAGGTTTGGGATTATTATTAATATTATTATGATTTAATTGAGTTTCTATTAAAATGTTAATTATGACAAAAATGGAAGATTTACATACAAACAAAAGGAAAGGAGAAAATAAAGCATTGAAATAATATGTAAGGTAATATTCAGTAGAAGACAAAACAGTTGCAATATTTTCCATGCATGTAGGCATTTGCTTAACACATCAAATTCACATACAGAATTGACAAATGAAAAATAAAAATAAAGGAATGAAGGCATGACTACTTAACATCATTATTTCTCTTCCTTCCCAATTACTAGTAGCCCAACAGAAATACTGTGGTACCTCAAGTTACAAACACCTCAGGTTACAAATGCTTCAGGTTACAAACTCCGCTAACCTGGAAGAGTTACCTCGAGTTGAGAACTGTGCCCCAGGATGAGAACGGAAATCATGTGCTGGCGTTGCAGCAGCAGCAAGAGGCCCCATTAGTGAAAGCACACCTGTAGTTAAGAACAGTTTCAGGTTAAGAACGGACCTCTGGAATGAATTAAATTCGCAACTAGAGGTACCACTGTATAAAGAGCATACATCTACCTAAACATACTTTCAAAAAACCCATACATTAGAATAAGCAGGAAGGACCATGCAGCAATGGACTTCTTCATAGAATCAATGAATTGTAGGGTTGGAATTGATCCCAAAAGTCCTCTAGTTCAATCCCCTGCAATGCAGGAATCATAGCTAAAGAAGCTCTGAAAGATGGCCATCCAACCACTGTTTAAAAACTTCCAATGAAATAGCCCTCACCATATTTCCAGATAGTCCATTCCACTGTCAAACAGCTCTTACCATGAGAAAGTTCTTCATATTTTTTTCTGGGATGACAAGGAACCATTGGTGAGTACTCCACAGGTTCAGTCAGTCAACCGGCTACAAATCCACCTAACAGTTACCAAGCTTTCATTTTAAAAGTTTGCTCCATAAGAATATCATTGGGAAGTTTGCCAAAGGCCTTACTGAAATCAAGGTATTCACAGCATTCCCCTGATCCACGAAGCTTGTGACTTGATTTAAAAAAAGAAATAATATTAGTTTGGTATGACTTGCTTTTGAGAAACTCGTTTGTAAATGAAAATAAATAATTTGTGCATACAATTTGTGCCATATTGGGGGGGAAAAGTCTCTTGTGGTATGTCCTTGAGGTACTTTCAGCTTATGGCAGCAAGAGCAACTGTGGCAAAATCCTGGAACGCATTTGATTTGGACAAGTTAGATTACTTGTCAGTAGTTTGGCAGACTGTTATGGTTGGACAATATTATTGCAGCAAAATGTGCACACTTCAGTTTGTGACCCAGTCAACTGAGCCAACCCACAAGCTTGGTACCCCAACTACCCTTTTTAGGGGTGGTAGGCCCAGGGAGCAGAAACAAAAGGTTTATTGAATACCTCTCAGGGACTGGGCAGAGAAGGAATGGTGGAGAATGCCCCCCATCCTGACCCTTCCAGGGAGGAGGAAGAGGATAGATTTACAACAGGGGTTTAAGGGAGGTCACAGCTCAGAGGCAGATGAAGGGAAAAGTTGGGAAATCGTGGGAGAGCCAGAGAAGCTGGCTGACACGTTGTCATTAGAAAGCATTCCAGACCCTCCATCTCCCAGAACCCAGAGAGCCTTAAAAGTAGGAGAGCAAAGAGCTCAAAGACAGAGGGTACTTAGTGGCACCTGTAGAGGAGGTGATGATGATGATGACGAATAAGGAAGTGGGAGAGATGGGGGGTAGAGATTCACTTGGGGCAACACCATTATCCAAGAGGCTGGGTTCTATAGCTTCTCTCTGTAAAGTTTGAAATAAAAAGGGCTGTAAGACACTTTCCCTTGTCTTTATACTTTGCTGGGCAACCAGCCGGGAGCCGCTGACAACATCCTGACAATTCCCTTTGGGTCACCAGTCTTGACTGGTAAGATGTGTTTGGTCTGGTGGTCACAAGTCGTATAATTCTGAGCAGCCCATTCTGAGCCCTAGAAGGAAAAACTGAGGGTGGGCAGGGGGTCGAACCTGGCAGTGATAGTATCAGCCTACTCATTCTGGTGCTATTTTGATCCAAACAGCAAAAACTGCATTTTGAGGTCTAGTAAAATAACACACATTTCCCAGCCTCGATGATGTAGGCTTTAGCACGATCTGAGGCTTAGGGGGGTTGTGTGTGTGAAAATGCTAAGAGGCTTTATCTCAGATGAAGAACAAACTTCCTGGCTTAATGTATTTTTTTAAAAAATGAAATCAACATGTTTTTGGTATGCAGAAATATGATTCTTAAAAGAAATATAAATAAAATAGTTTAATAACACTGGTAGCAATAATAATGGTGATAGTGATAAAAATAATAATGGGCCAACAAATTCCAGTGATTCTTTTTGCATGTGAAAATTGGTCAGTCAGGGTTTCCTCATCCTGGCTCAATTATTTAACCCCAGTTTATGATTGAAAACAGACAAATCCTGAACTATCAATGTTGAAACAGTGGGAACTTGTTGGTGTTTGAGTGAGAGAGACAGCATTGGGAAAATATTTGTAGTGCTATTAACTTAGCAAAACTTCACATGAGGAAAAAAAGACGTCAGACTTTATCACTAAATAAAAAATAATAACAATAAAAACCAGCAGCTCCTTCTACACATCTAAATATTTAAAATACTACAAAGTCATTTCCCCCTCAGTGGAGGTTCCCAACTGTTTAAGCAGTTCCCATCATTATATTACAAATGCAACTTTTAAAAAAAGACGAAGAAAAGTTGTTGACTAAAGCCTGAGGAGAAGAAGAAAAAACCACATGCACATGTGTGTATGTGCATACTTAGGTCCAATACCAAATTCTTCTCACCCCCACCTCCCTTCCTGCTCACTTATCATTTCCACAGAACTCCAGTAGAAATGTTGATGGGACAACAGCTTCATACCAGATGACAAATGCTCTCAGACGAATCCAAGCAAAACATTTCTAAAAGAGAATCATTCGGATTTAAATGAAGTTAGCTGCACTTAGGTCCCATTGCAATTGAGAGACCAAGTTAATCATGGCTTAAGGTGAGAGGGAGGCTGGTCAATTTCACATACATTTTAAGGGGTGAAGGCTTACTTTGGTTCCTACAAAATGGCTGAAGTTTGTTGTGTTTTAGACCTTGAAGAAAGCTCTGAGGTGCCTTGTAGGAGCCGAGAGACTCTGTAGCTAGCTCCAGCTATTTACAGGGCCAAAAGACCCATAGAACCAACACTAAGCATGTACAATTGTTTGTGTGAAAGGCCATGCGCTTTTGATTTGTACAGCTCGACAATTGTTTGTACTGATACACAGAATGTACCAGCTGCCTTGAGAGACATGTTCGGGAGAAGAATAAGCTAAGGAGCAAACCCTACACATATCCAGAGTGGAGACTCTAAGATGGTTAGATGATGCCTTGTATTCTTTCTTCTAGCAACTCCTGCAGCCGCGCTGGTGCCAAACATCTTGCTCTGCTTTCCTTTGGGCCACATCTGTGAGGCCAAGAGGAAGGTTTTGTCATCTGGGCAGCCTAGTATCTCCATACACACTGCCCAGCCTTGCGCCCCAGAGAGTTCACTTTGGTGCTGCTAACACAGTAAAAACAACATGGGAGGTAGCAGTTATGAGTTACCAGTTTGTGCAGCCACATCAGGCGCTGTGATTCTCCAGTTGTTTTACTTCACCCCTGAAGGCATGCTCCATTGTCTCTAGAGATAGATGGGTGCCAATAGCAACAACAAAACTCACTCTGTGAACCTTAAATGTCAGTAGCAATGCAAGTATGTAGCTCAGCTATTTGTATGTTCCTGTTTGCCTGAAATGGGGGATAGAAAGGGCTGTGTGAGTGTTATAAGCTAGTCTACTGCACAAAGAGGAAGGGGAATCACAAGCCACATCTGCCTTTTGCCCCACCTGCCACTGACATGACCTCTAGAAGGTTGACCAGAATGGAATGCAGCCCCCAGGTTGAAAATGTCCCCTCCCCTGGATAAAGATAAGAAAACTCCCCCCACTCACAAAAGACTGGTTCCAGCCATGAATCTTTGGGAGCATTTTTCTTTTACCTCCCATGTTATTGCTCCTGTATAAAATATCATAACAGAAAAGCCAGTGTGGTGTAGTGGTTAAGAGCGGTGGACTCGTAATCTGGTGAACCGGGTTCGCATCTCCGCTCCTGCACATGCAGCTGCTGGGTGACCTTGGGCCAGT